TGATGAGACTCTGGGGACCTCTTGCTGCCTGCTAGAAGCTTCCTCTCTGCCCCGCATACCAGACTGTCCTTTCTGTCTCTTGCAGGAGCCTTGAACATGGATAGTCCGTGGCTGATGGTCTCTGCAGCTCACAGGTAGTACAGGCCACATGGAGCTGTGTTCCAAGCTGTCCTGGAGCTGATGCTGGGCAATGCCTGGACCCTAAAGGACCTGGTGGTCATTGTGGCCTGCAGGAGTCAGGGCCCCACCAGGGAAGGCAAGATCGAGGTCTACACTCCAGCTACCACCTACCTCCAGGTGAGCAGTGTTAGGCCCCCAGCACATGCCTGGTCCCCGGCTACTGAGATCTTTTTCTGGTGCAGAAGTGGATAAAAGCTGAGGCCTGTAGGCAGATAGTAGCTCACAGATGTGTGAAGTTTGGCCTTCCCAGTCTCTACAGCTATGAGAGTTTTTTCTGTGTGTGTGTGTGTGTGTGTGTGTGTGTGTGTGTGTGTGTCTGTGTGTGTGTGAGAGATGCAGTTTCGCTCTTGTTGCCCAGGCTGGAGTGCATTGGCATGATCTTGGCTCACCACAACCTCCACCTCCCAGGTTCAAGTGATTCTCCTGCCTCAGCCTCCCAAGTAGCTGGGATTACAGGTACCCACCACACAGGGCTGGGGCAACAGATAGATTTTTTTTTTTTTTTTTTTTTCTTAAAGCCCTGTAGAGAAAACTAGCCTTCCTGTGCCAGTCAGGTTAGGCCTCACAGAAATGGCGTGAAGGGGTTTTGAGTCATGAATAGGAGTTCACCAAGTAGGAAAGAGATGAAAGGGTATCCCACAGGAGGAAATAGGGTGTTCAAAGGGCTTGGTCCTCCTCCCCACCTCATTGCAGGTTTCCATGGTGATGGTCTTGGCACAGAGCCTCTTCCGTAGCTGGAGCAAATTCGAGTCAGCCTGGAATGTAGCAGTGCAGGATGAGATCCATGCTGAGAACAACCAGGACCATAAGATCCTGCACTGCTGGTTGGAACACCCCCAGCAGGAGCTGAACCTAACAGTGGCCTATAGGCACCTGGAGTGGGTGAGAGCCCAGGAGGCCCATGCAGTCAAGAGAGCACCCAATCCCTTACCTGGCTCTCCCACCTCTCTCCCTGCTTGGGATAGAAAAGGGCTTTTTGCCACTGGCTTGGCCTGTGACCTTAGGCCTCTCTGAGCCTCTCTTTCTCTCTTTCCTTTTCCTTTTCTTTTTAGATATTTTTTTTTGACAGTCTGGTTCTGTTGCCCACGCTGGAGTGCAGCGATGCAGTCATAGCTCACTGTAGCCTCAAAGTTCTGGGCTCAAAGGATCCACCCACCTCAGCCTCCCAAATAGTCAGAACTACAGGTGCATGCTACCCATGCCACCATGGCATTGAAGGGGTTTTGAGGGATGAATAGGAGTCCACCAAGTAGGAAAGAGATGAAAGGATATCCCAGGGGGAGGAAATCTGACTTTTTAAGCAGAGATGAGGTATTGCTGTGTTGCCCAGGCTGGTCATAAAGCCCTGGGATCAAGTGATCCTCCGATCTCAGCCTCCCAAAGTGTTGGGATTGCAGGGGTGAGCCACCATGCTCAGACCAGCCTTAGTTTCTTGGTCTGTGAAATGGACCCTGGTCACATTAGCACAGATTCAGGAGCAAAGCTGGGCTTCCTTTAGCTGAGAAGTCTAAGCTCTTCATTCCCCCTGGGCACCTAGGGAGGTCTAGCTGTGGTGGGAGCTGGTGGGATCCTGTGGTCTGAACAGGGTGGAGTCTGCGGTCCAGTTTAGCAGCATTCTCAGTCATTTCTGGGGGCGATGGACAGGCTGTGGGGGGCTACCCCTTGCCTCCCTGCCTCCCTGCAAGGTGGGTCTGCAGTTTGGTCCTGTTGGCTCATCCCTCTCTTCAGCCTGGATCTTGTTACAGCCATGGAAGAGCTAGGTGTTGCTGACGGCTCTGGGGACCAGTGCCCTTGGCCAGCCTTGGGGCCTGCAGTTGGAGGGCGAGCTGGAGGACCTGAGGTGAGACAGGACATTGTACCAGAAACGGGGGACCTTGCTCCTTAGGTGTGTGTGTGTGTCCCTTCTCCTAGGCTGACACCCCTGCAAGTTTCCCCTTTTCCAGCATGGAGGGTCCCTGGCAGGGACAGGATGGGCAGAGCTACCTGGAGAAACCCTGCTGACCTGCTGGGGCCCGAATGGAACCCAGATCCCGGAGAAGAGCCCCCTCCCCTGAAAGCCGCCACATCCGTAGCACCCTCCATTAGTTGCTGAGGTGGGAGCAGAAGTCAGACTTCTCATTTCCTAGAGACAGAGCTCATTAAAAAGGCAGTTCCCTGTGTGCTGGGAACAGCATGAGATTGGAATGAGCAGAGCCATCTTGGACGCCAGGCTATGCATTGAGCAGCTGTGTAATGTTAGATAAGTCACCTACGGCCTAAACAGCAGCAGTAATGCAAGGAATAGTAACATCATTTGCAGATTTCATTTGTGTTTTTGCCCCATTTACATTCATTGAGCACCTATTATGTACCAAGTGCTCTTCTGGGCACGTGGAAAATGTCAGAGAACAAGAAGGGCAGAAACCCTTGCTCTTGGGGAGCTTACATTCATTTCATGTATGTTACCTCTAATCCCGATCACTGTGTCCAATGAGTGTTATTTTAGCCCTGTTTTACAGATGGGGAAACCGAGGCATACAGCAGTCAAATCCTTTGCCCAAAGTCACACAGCTAGTGAAAGTCCATGCCTGGATTCCAGCCCCAGCCTGTGTGACCCCAGATGATGTGTGCCATCTATCCCCTTGGGTCTTTGCTGTCAAATGTCAACGGGGACCTCAGCCATGCCCACCTCGATGGCACAGTGAGATGGTGAAGGGTTCCGAATGACAAATTGTAAAAGCACAAGTCCTGATGTTCTCTTCTCTGTGAGAGACTCCTAACTCTGCAAGCTCATGACAGGCCCAGGCTGAGACCGTGGGGCCCAGCTGTCCCCGACACTGCCAGCTGCTTTAGTAGCTTTGGCCTGTTTTTCCCTCTTCGTACCAGGTGCCCTTTGCGCCTGCCCATCCCGCAGAGCCTCGTCCTACAGGGGACCTTCGTGGCTGACAGGCAACACCAGCGCTATTCCCTGGAGACAAGGGTTGTCCTGAACGGCCAAGAGGAAACCCTGCAGACTGTGGTCCTGGGCTATCACGCTGGACAACCCTATGTGAGTGGGTCTGGGCACAGCCGGGAAGGGGTCTGAGAGCTGGAAGGAGGCCCCAGCTGCCTCCTGACCTCCCTGCATGCGTGTATACATGTATGTGGTTGTCCCTCCCAGGTCTGTGCATGTCTGATGCATCCATACGATGGCAAAGCCATCCCCAGGAACACAGAGGGGTGCCTGGTTACTTGGAATCAGCACAAGGTAAGAGTGGAGGCCCCAGAGACCTTTGCACCCCAGCCAGCCCTGGTTCAAGTTGCTGTCATCTCTCAATAGGATTAGAAATATGTACTATGGGCTGAGTGCAGTGGCTCACACCTGTACTCTTAGCCACTCAGGAGGCTGAGGTGGGAGGATCTCGTAAGGCCAGGAGTTTGAGAGCCATCTGGGCAACATATGGAAACCCTGTTTTCTACAAAAAATAAAAAAAATAAAGTTTTTTTAATTAGCCAGCCATGGTGGTGTGCACTTGTAGTCCCAGCTACTCTGGAGGCTGAGGCAGGACGATCAATTAAGCCCAGAAGGCTGAGGCTTCAGTAAGCTGTAATTGCACCACTGCATTCCAGCCTGGGTCACAGAGCAAGACTCAGCCACCCCTCTTTCCCCCAGAAGAGTTATCTACACTGGGCATGGTGGCTCATTCCTGTAATCCCAGCACTTTGGGAGGACAAGGCGGGCAGATCCTCTGAGGTCAGGAGGTTGAGACCAGCCTGGCCCACATGGTGAAAGCCCGTCTCTGTACTAAAATACAAAAACTAGCCAGGCATGGTGGTGGGTACCTGTAGTCCCAGCTACTCGGGAGGCTGAGGCAGGAGAATCGCTTGAATCCAGGAGGTAGAGGTTGCAGTGAGCCAGTCTGGGACATAGAGCCAGACTCTGCCTTAAGGAAAAAAAAAAAAAAAAAAAAAGGTTCTCCTGCCTGGGTTCTCTGTTTCATTTGGTCCTCCCTAGTATGGTCTATGTGAGAGCTAGAGGGATATTTTCTTTCTTTCTTTTTTTTTTTTGCATATGGAGTCTTACTCTGTCACCAGGCTGGAGTGCAATTGTGTGATCTCAGCTCACTGCAATCTCCAATTCCCAGGTCCAAGCGATTCTCCTGCCTCAGCCTCCCGAGTAGCTGGGACTACAGGTGCCTGCCACTACACCCAACCAATTTTTGTATTTTTAGTAGAGACGGGGGTTTCACTATGTTGGCCAGGATGGCCTCGATGTCTTGACCTTGTGATCCTCCCCCTTCGGCCTCCGGAAGTGCTGGGATTATTGGCGTGAGCCACCCCGCCCAGCCCAGAGGGATATTTTCTAAAGGCCAGCATAACCCTGCCACTCCCTTGCTCTCAAACTCTGACAGCCTCTCTTGGGATAAAGCCCCAGTCCTGTCCCCTCAGCCCCACTTTGTGGCCTATATTCCCCTTGTCCAGCCTCTTCACATTTCCTCACCTGGCTCTTTCCTGCCTCAGGACCTTTGCCTGTCCTGTGCCTGGAGCTGTCGCCCTCTTCTTCACCTCCCTTCTACTCATCTTTTAGGGCTGAGCTCCAGCATCCTCTCACATGACCCCCAGACCACCTCACACACACCCCTGGTTACCTCAGCAATCCCTTATATCCTTTTTGCAACCTCTGCCTCCTGGGTTTCAAGTGATTCTCCTGCCTCAGCCTCCCGAGTGGCTGGGATTACAGATGTGCATTTCCATGCCTGGTTAGATTTCGTATTTTTAGTAGAGACAGGGTTACGCCATGTTGGCCAGGTTGTTTCCAACTCGTGACCTCAAGTGATCTCCCTGCCTTGGCCTCCCAGCCAAAGTGCTCGGATTACGCTGTGCCCAGCTTGCCTGATATCTTTTGCTTCTAGTATCAATCACACATTCCAATTCCTTTCTTTCTTTTCTTTTTTTTCTTTAGACAAAGTCTCACTCTGTCACCCAGGCTGGAGTGCAGTGGCACAATCTTGGCTCACTATAGCCTTGACCTCCTAGGCTCAAGTAATCCTCCCACCTCAGCCTCCCCAGTACCTGGGACCACAGACACATACCACCAGCACCACACCTGCCTTTTTTTAATTTTTATTTTTAGTAGAGACAGAGCCTTGCTATGTTGCCCAGGCTGGTCTTGAACTCCTGGACTCTAAGTGATCCTCCCATCTTGGCCACGAAAGTACTGGGGTTATAGGTGTGAGCCACCGTACCTGGCCCCAGTTCTATTTTTGCGTGATTCATCAGTCACTGGCT